CGTGCAATCCGAGCACAACACAAGTTCCTGGGACCGGGCCTTTTTGTCCGTGCGCGAACAAAATTAAGGAAACGCGGCCTGAGTTCTAAAGAAATTAAAAAAAGAAAAAACGCTCACACAATATTTAAGTAGCTCCCGGCATGGGATTACCAGGGGCGCGCCAGGCATAATGCCGGGCCTCCGGGCCTCCATGGGTGGGACGAGTATATCGTTATGAAAGACAAGAATCGTATATTCATCAAGATTCTTATGCAGGTATTGTCTTGTGTCGCACTCTTACGTGACGGTGTAAGCGATTTCGAGATCTAACTCAAGCCGCAAAGACCGGTCAATAGAGTATGTTGGGATGTTGTCTTCAGGTCTACTGTTCTCGCCAAGAACGACACGACGGACACCCCCACATTTTAATCAAATTACATCCGACCTTATACCGCTTCTTGGACAGCCTCACCAGCGACAACTTCAATGTCGTCGACCTACCAAGAGGAGAGGCGGGGGAGTCGTGGTAGGAGGCCCAACATGTCAACACGAGACAGCATAAATATAGTTGCGCATCACCACCCGCGACGACAGGCACAACTACCATAAAGGACGACTGAGTTTGCGGTGCGTTCGGCGCTCAGGTATGTCGTCAAGACAGCCCCGGCAATTGTCGTCCTTCTTCGTCCTCACTAACCCCCCCGCTCCACACACACACCACACACACACACACACACACACCCACCAACACACAACACACACAACGACACACACCACACAACACACACACACACACACACACACACACCACACACACACACACTATTCTACACACACACACACACACACACACAGCACACACAATCACACACAACACATACATAATTCTCTGTTTCGTTCATTTCGTCGGAAAGTTCGCCAGGCGATAATAAGAAAACCATCAAAAGCAGAGGACCTCACACATAATATCCAAAACAATTAATGTCACCCCCGTTTTTTCATAAATTGTCTGGTGGTTAACACGTTCAAGAGGGTGAGATACTACCTCTGAGTACTTGTTTTTTTTTTAGTCTTTTAGTGAACAGACTAAAAATTTTCTTAAATAAACGTTTAATACCACCTTTATTCAATAACCAGTTATTGTTTTCAATTTAGAGTACTAGAAGACAATATATGGGAAACAACCGTTACTGTCTCCAGTTTGCAAAAGACATTCAGAAGGTGTTCCCACAGTGTGGTGACAACGACATAACCGGAAGAGTACGCCTAAGGAGATCTCGTCCCCAAGGGTTTAAAAGTCGGGCGCTGGGGGTCTTTATCCGTGCATCGGCATTACACTTACTACTTCAAAAGGGGTGAGAACGTGCCCTTAAGGGGCGTTACGCTCGACCACCCACAGCACGTACTATACTTTGTACAGATACGTTGCAATCAATAATACTTATTGTCTTTCTCGTTCTTTTTATATTCATTTTTTTGTTATTAGTTAAAAAACAATTTGTAATAAAAAACAGTTCACGCAAGGCAAAAAAAAACATCCCACCCGCCCGGGGGTGAGCCCAGAGCGCGGGGTGAACAACCCTTGGGTACGAGACTCGTCACTACACAAACCGACACGCACCCGTTGCTGCCTGACAAAGTTGAGGGAGGTTTCTAAAAGATACCCGCAACTCAGACCTCTGACCATCCGGAGGTCCTGGAACTTTACGGAAGAAAACAAAATAATGCTTCGGTGAGGACACGGCCCGCCCACACAAACCCTAGAACAGCTACGACTTCTGGTCGGTGCAAGTAGAAGCTACGGGACCGACTACCTTCCTCCAACAGTGAGCTGTTAGAGCTGCTCATATATGTCTCGTCTGACAGGGTTGTAGTTCTGCCGGAAAGCACCAGAACGCCGCTCCGGCAATTCAGAAATTGCAGTACCCATAAGGAGCCGTACACATGACGCAGTTTTTGCGTGGCTGTGTCTTTAGTTGAAAGCCCAGTGGCGATCTGTTCATCTGTCACACTGATCATACAGTCAATAACTTTGTTGTTATTAGCATCTGGTTAGCTCGCTATGCTAACAAATATAAGCTTTTTCTACAACCAGTGTGGTAAAGGCACACCTTGATATGATCATTATAAAAAAATAAGAGAATAAAGTAAACGGGTATAAAATACTATATGACAGTAAAAAAAAGTTGTTGTTAATAAACACGAATACAGTTTGTAAAATATCCATAAAGAAAAATAAAATCTGCTTACAGTTCTATTTCATGGGTATTGAGAGATGTATCCATAGAGCTCCTAATGTTGCTCTCAAAGTGCACCAGATTGATGCTTTTAACTTCAACATTTAAAAACAAATCTTCCCGGGGGAGCATGCCCCCGGACCCCCCTAAAGGTTAGGTCCCCCCCCCCCCACTTAAATCATGTCCACATGGATAGGAAACTAAGTACATTCATTTGCACACGTCTTGTGTCAATATCTTTCTGTTTTGGTGGTCATGCCACACCGTGCACGTGCATGCATGCGCGAGTCATGGCAAGATATCTGGATAAAGAGGTTGCTTTTTCTTTGCACAGCAGGAAAGAAAGGCCAAATGAATGGGCTGTGATTTTAGTATTTTTAAGCAGAAGTCAACAATAATTTGTACGGCCCTCGGAGGATGTTGAACAAATTGAAATGGCCCTTGAGAGGAAAAAGGTTCCCCACCCCTGCTCTAATGGGTATTTTCAAAGCCAGTGGTAGACTCTATGCAGGTGTGGTGTGTTTTTCATTTGCTCTTGTGTAATAGGAGATTGAAGCCCTATTCAAACAGTAAATATGCAAGATTGGTGGCTTTATCTATTTCTTAAATTCATGATTTTCAAAAATTGGTCATTTACTGGTGAGATGGTAAAGTGGCAGATCGACTGTTAATAAGGTGCAAACGAAAAATAAGTTAGCATTTAAGCACTTTCCCTCGTTTCAAAGACATCATTTGTTGTTTTATGATGCAAAATATGACAGTACCCCACTATTAAGTGTCTGAAGCTTTAACGCAATTTAAAAAAGGTCGGATGCAAACAAATTGGCTACATCAGCTTTTCACTTCTTGAAAATGAATTTAGGCTTCAACTATTATGAAAGTGGTGTTAATATGTCGAGATGATCCTGCTGATCAGTACGTGTACAGTAGGTATCAAATGTGTTTGCCAAAGATCTTATTTTTTACAATTTTCCAAAATCCAATGAAAAAATCCCTAAGCCTTTTTGTCATGGGAACCCTTGCCATTCTAACTTCCTAACTACTGCACTACTCTTTTTCTAAGAGGTAGATAAGCATAATGAAGAGATGCACAACATGTACATAAACTGATATTCTGGGAGGAAGTAGGAGTTAGATTTTACAAATGTATTTGCAAACAAATTAGCTGAGATTAGCTTTTTTCTACATTATTTTAGTCAATATAAGTATGTATGGACCTCAGCTTGCTTTACACCCAAAAATGTATGTTATATAAAAAATCCACAGACCAAACACTATTTCATGTGTGTGTGTGTACCTGCAGTACGATGGGGAGTTGCTCAGGAGGGTTTCTGTTCTCCACTCCCATGGTCAGCCACACCTGGAACGCCGTCAGCTGCTCCGCAAAGAAGGGACTGTGCTGTGGACACAAACACACACGAGATTTTATGTATCACTATTCCTCTTCTCTCCCTCCCTCACACACACAGTAATGAGCCAGTCCGCAGTGACTAGCTTATCATTTCATAAGAGCCCTGACAAAAGGAGCTCAGAAGTGACACTGCACTGCAGTAACAACATACATCCTGATCTATCATCTTCCTCCCCCTCTCAGTTGGCAGTTTGCCTGATTGATTGTTCGCCGGCTGCAGATCACCGAGTGTTAATATTGCAGTGGGAATAACGAGAGCGCTGTGTAGAATTCTGATGGATGTAGAGAGGGGAAATATCAACGCTTCACGGCTGGATGGCTAAATTAATTTGTGCATAATCAAAGCTTAATAACTCAGTACACACACTCACAGTCACTGATACATGAAAAAGTGGTGTGTGGTTGTAAAAGGCCAAGTTTTGAGACTCCTCTATAGTGTGAAGGTATAATGGTGCATTTTTAACTGGGACCTTATGCTTCATTAGCATATTCAATTCAGAGAGCTCCATACTTTACTCAGTGTAATACTTAATTACCTACTAACTTTTAATAAAAAAACACTAAATAAGGGTTACTGCAGAATTCAATAAGTTCAATTTCAATCTGTTTTTAAAAAAAAAGCCATTTGATGTTTTCCAAAATAGTAACGCTTGATTAATAAGCTGTTTTTCATTTCATCACAGATAACTCAACCAAATTCTTATTGATATAAATAATTAAATGAACGTGAAACTAGATAAGCTACAGAAAAGAGATGTATTGATTCTTTCAAAATCATTTATTAATTGAGGTATTTCCTTAAAATAGCTAATAGCCCAGTGCTGTAGCTACAGGACTGATGAGTGAAAAACCTCAAAATAAAAAATAACTCTCAACACATTATTTCATTTATTTGATGTATTTCAAATTTAGATTCTTTCTTTTTTTGTTTTACAGATAGTCATCAATGTATCTGAATCTTATTTTTCAATTTCATTACCATTTGATTAATGATAATTAGTGAAGTTATTTATTTAGGTCTTTTAGTTGAAAATATGGTGGCCAACAGGTGCCAATACGCTACAATGTCCCAAAACAGTTTAGGAGAAACGCGCTGCATTCTGAAAAACAATAAAATTATAAAACACAAATGTGCCAAAACACATCCAGGGGACACTAAAAGGTGACGCACACAGCTAGGACCGGAGCACCTGTTGACGTTGGGGGATTATGAAGTTGGCAAACTGTCAATGTTGTTAGAAACTTTCCTAAAATGTAAGGTTAATCAGCTTATTTTAACAAAGTGATCGCAAGATTCCTTCCGATATTATTGCAGATCTGCTGTAAGATAGCTAGTTTTCCTAGTCATTTCAAATATACTGACTAAACACTTACAACTATGAAATCGACTAACTCTAACGACTCATTTCCATGTGTTTTGGCACATTTGTGTTTTTTTATTAGCATCGTTTCTGAAACTGCAAGGCGTTTCTCTTTTGTAAGGCGTTTGCACCAGTTGGCCACCATAGAGTATGAAGGCAAAATCCAATTAAAGGTGGGGTAGGTAATTTTGGAGAAACCAGCTCGAGTGCGCTAGAATTTGAAAATACACAACCGGAAAAAATCTGCCACTTCGTTATAGAGCCCCTCCTCCAACACACACAAACGTGCACATGACCAATGAGGTCACGAGATACGTTTGTGCACAGATGGAAAGCTGACAGGCAGGTAGGCCATCCAGTTATTTTAGCAGGGCCGGCTAAAATGATTAGTCATGCTTTTTACAGCGCCACGGCTTCCACAGATGACATTATTTTATGGATTTTTTGTCAAAGCACTTAAGATATTCATTGCTATCAGGATGTTAAGAGCATTCCATGCAATATAACAAAAAGTGTATCTCGAGCCGGTTTCTCAAACTTACCTACCCCGCCTTTAAGTAAAGGAAGATTTGAGTATCATCTGTGCTGTGCCTAGTATGTTTATTTTGTATTTTGTTCCCATTTCATGAAAAGACAATGAAAAATAAAGGATTTGAGTTATCCTCCAGCCTTACAAGCTGAGGAAGACATTGACAACGTGTTCTGACCAAACGTCTACAACAGAGGATTGAACAGGCTCCTGTGCGTAACATTCACTGATAGTTTCATCTGCAGATACAAAAAACATTTTGTAACAAAAAAAACTATTTATGACTTTTCTATGTTACTCTAGATGGGACTTTTTAGTAGCTTCAAACTTCTTTAAACTAGGAAACAGAGTTGTATTTACCCCCAATAATGCAGAGTAGGTGGGGGTGGGTAAGTCAGCCCTGAGTCCTGCCTGCAGGCTTTCTTTCAGGCTGCATTGAGACCCAAGAAGCTAGGAGCAGTGGGAGAAAATCTGTTCATTTAAGAATCGAGATTCTAATCTTCAGATTCTGAGGAGATTCACAAATTCTAGTTAAACAGGGTGGTTTTGTGTACTATTTATTTTGAGATTCTGAGCAATAAAAAGGCAACAAACCCAAACCTAAGAATGTTAATTATGTAATACGCCGCTTTTATAAAAAGCAACTATGGACATGAAACAATCTTCTATACACATTTATGGTCCAAATGGGTGAAAAGGTCCTTTTAAAGGAGGTGTATCTCTCTTTCTGCAGATAGAGGGGACAGTTCAGAGGCAATAACACGGGGGGAATGGATTCAACAATTAGGTCTGAGAGACATTTAGGTTTATCCACTCAGGAGCTAACACACAGAAGGATTATCAATATTAATTTACAGTACAAACACCATTTTCCAAATTACAGGATGGAAGCAATGATTAGGAGAATAGCAGGAACGTTTTGTCTTTCTTTAAAAAAGAATAATAGTAGGACGTGATGATTATTTCTATTTCAGTACCAAAAGCAGCAGAATAATAAAGGCTAATGATTGCAACAAATATTTAGAAGAACAGCAAGTGATTACATAGAGAAACACATACTATATGTGTTATTCCCCTAATGCATATGGTGCTTATTTTACATTTGAGCTTTTCTTTGTGTTATTTCATATTCCTTATTCCAGGTAACTGCATTTATTTCTCTATCGAATTTATTTCACTGATAGCCTTGAAACCAACAAGCTAAACGCAAAACAGGCCTGGCAACAGGAACCAATGGGGGAAGAGCCTATCAGAGAATACATTAGCGATTAGAACATAAAACTAATTATGTAAAATCTTCTTTATATTTTCTGTAGCTCGACATGCAGCAGTGTCAGAGAGCCAGAACATGAAGTGAACAGCTGAAGCACATTAAAGGCTCCTGAAAGAGGGGGCAAGACGGAGGGGGAAGATCTCCTTTAGCGGTCCTCAGAGGCTCAATTACGGGGCCGGTAACTGTTTTCGGCCCGAGTGCGGGAGAATGGAGAGGAGGATCGAAAAACTGCTCCCTGGGGAGCGATGGAGAGTACGCCCACCTCCGAGCACCAGGTGGAAAGAGAGAAGAAAAAAAAGGCCCGGGTGAAAGTGCTAACATCGGAGAAAGAAGACAATTTTCTCTGCTCTCAGACTTTTTTGCGGACCAAGCAGCTGCTCTCTGCTGCGTCCATCAAACCAGTTGAGTGTGTCTGTGAGTTGACTCAGATATCTTAAGTCATCATCATTTCAATCAGCCTCATGCAGCGTGTTTCTATCACACTCAGCATCTCACTCACAGTCCCTGCCATGTCAGTAAATACAACATAAAGTGGCTCAAGGCGCTTTCAGCAACTATTCCTTATTTGACACTCACTGGAATTATTAGATCTGACGTTTTACGATGATATCCGCTGGGAACGAGATTGTGTGAGTGGGTGTTTGAGATGAATAGATGGTGGTGGAGAATTGTTGATGGTTTTCAGGCGTCAGTGGTGGACAGATCCCAGATCAGAGCCACACATCAATGCCATATAAGCAGTGACCTACACAAATGGAGCATATTTCCACCTTTTAAGAGAAGCTGCAAATTGCCGCAGGATCTGTAGGCCTGTCATGATAACGACTTCTGTTGAGCAACATACTGTATTGTCCCAGAAAACCAACTGTGATAAACGGCATCAAATCATGACCCTTTCATTACTCTGATATGATCATATTTAAGAATAATATTGGGAAGATCCATTCCAAAAGCAATGAACATTTCATTCTTAACAATATTCACATGTTGTAATAAGAATATTAAAATACCCCAAATAAATGGTTGACTTTCAGGATTTGTCATGGACGGTGTATTCTGACCCCAAGCACAACAGCTAACCGCAGCAAAAAACAGCAAAACCACAACCATATATTGTACGATAAGTTGATCGTGTAAAAATGATCAAAGGCTGTGTCAATATATATCGTACAATAAGTTGTAACTTTAAAATAATCTATCTCATGTTCATATGTTGCACTGTTTGTCGATAACGTACTGTAATGCAACGTATTATTGAAGTCCTTTCCATATACTGTACGGTCAATTGATAACATTAAAATTATCAAAGGATGTGTCCTTAATGGTAAACTACCTGACAACACTAAAATGATCGATGAACGCCTCAATTTATTATATCATATGTTGATAACGCAAAAAGGATCCAGGCCATATCCATATACAGTATCAACAAATAACTTGATAACGCAATAAGTATTTAAGTCATGCTCATATATTGAAGGACAATATGATAACATTAAAGTTATTGAAGGTCGCGTCTATACATCTTAAAATATGCCGGACACTTGTCCCTATGTCGTCCCGTGGTTAGATTAAGTGAGAATTATTTAAGTCATGTCCATAAATTATACAGTCAGTTGATAACGTTAAAAGTATCAAAGGTAGTGTCCAGAAATGTTACGAATACGTACATTATACACACACACACACACACACACACACACACACACACACACACACACACACACACACACACACACACACACACACACACACACACACACACACTCACTCTGAAGGCGGTGCCCTCCTCGATGATGGTGGGCAGCTGAGAGAGGCAGATGTCCACGGCCAGGTCCCACGCCTGCCTGTGGAGAGGGGACACACAAACAACACACATTACGAAATGCATTATAATACATTTTCAGAATAACATGAAATACACAAAAAAGATTTCCTATCTAAAGGGTACAGAGCCTAGGTCATGGCTTTCCTTTTCCCACTCCACCACGCTCTCATTACCATTCTCCTCAGCTCATCTTCTACAGCACATACACCTTTAAATTCCCATCCCGAGGACCTGGAGAGGGCAGCAAGGAGCCTTTAATCCCTTTCTAAACGCCAGCGTTCTCTCATGGTCATCATATCTAATTCATGGGGTTATGTAACTCAAATCAAGCCTTTCTGTCTGTCTCTCTTTCCTTCCACTTCCCAGCTCTTTTTTCCTGCGGCAAATTGTGCTCAGGGCCTCTTTCCCTGTGTAATGTGATGCTGAACGAGCGACTCGGAGTTCATTCCGTCTGAGACTCATTGTGCTGCTTAAACAGCTTTTACATAAGCTGGGAGCGATATAATAGAGTTTCACTCTGAGTCGACAGCACGGCGTTAAAGGAACAATTAATCCACTGCTGTCATGCAAACATGTAGACATCTGGTAGCGTCTGGAGCTGATATAAAGCATTGCTGTCTGATTGGAAAACTAGACGCTCACTTAAATCCTTCAACCGTTTTACATTTTAAAAGTCAAGAAACAGGCAATGTATCCCTGCTTTCATGTCAACTGGTTCACAGGAGCATGTTCAAGCTGATTATTCAGCTGTCGCTGCAGCATTCAACACTTTAAGCCTTCCAGCTAAAATGTCAACAGTGCAAAACACATTACTGCATTATTAAGAGCAGGTGGTACTCATTTTGCTGCCATATAAAAGTGTGACTTAAGAAAAAGGACTCTGTGAAAATAATCTGATTGATGGTTAAACCTAAGATTATAAAAACAGATTTGAAGCAAATCTGATGTTATCAAGCTAAAATAACATTAAAGAACACGCATGCTACATTGAGATTTAAAGGGGACCTATCATGAAAAAGGTACTTTTTGATGTCTGTTATACATAAATATTTATCCCCGGTGTGTAAGGAGACTCACAAAGTGTCAGAAAAGCCAAAACCCTCTCTCTTTTCCTCATCACCCACATCTCTAAAAACGGAGGTACAACGGAGCTGATCCAGATTTGATGCAGATATGATGTAATATCTGAAATGTGGGCTGGCTTTACACCCACAGCCCTATCAGAAACGTCACTATCAGAAACAATGTGCGACGTGTGTTTTGGACGTAATATGGTCTGTGTTTACATTAGCGAGCATCGCTAACACTCAGAGCTAAGCTGTACTGGAGAGAGTACGTGTAAAAAAGCAGGAAAAACAAAGGAACTCACGCAAGAGAAAAAGCATTTGAGTTCCATGCTGTTTCAGAAATAATCATTGATGTGGTTTGGAACATGATGGCATTTAATCACGGCAGCATTTAGCTATATCTCAGAATTCTGAGCAGGCATTAACTGACCCTCCTCTTTTTTTTTTTTCAAGCTAAGTACCCCGAACCTGCAGCTCTCTCACAGGGCTGACATAGGGGGAGATGAGGGATGTCTAAAATGCATGATCTGTTTGGTATTTTGAGCAAAACACATCATAGATATGTTTTTATATATTTTTATATTGATCCTGAGCTGAGACCCATTATATAGGCCTAAAAATAGCATAATAGGAGACCTTTAAGTGTAATATTTAGTGCATTATTATTTCTGTATTTAATTTATTTTGCTGAGCATCTGCTACTGTGACTATTGTTAACAGCAGCGGCGTCATTTACAGACTGGAACCAGTATCCCTTTAGTGGGTTTTTGTGAGGGAAAACATGCAGAGGTAAAGATGAGAGCAGTGCTACGTCATTGCCTGGTGTCATCAAGGTTTAAACAAATAATTGATGCCAAGTGGAAAAAATGGTTCCATTGTGCCAAAAAGCTGCCATGTTGTGTCCTGCAAAAATGTGTCCAAATGACAGAAAAAGGGACGGATGTCATTGTGTCATTGTTCCATAGCTAATTAATGTATTCGGCTTGTTGTGTAGATTAACAAATGCATCGTATTCCTAACTTTTTTTATTCACTGCAAGTCAAATAACAGCCGATATTTTCACCCAAAATTGGGCGGGGCCATAACATTGATGGAAAGTACTCAGATGGGATTTTCTCATGTATGTTGGTTATACTTTGACAACACCAGCTGAAAGACGATTATTAGAAGTTATCCAACCTCAGATCGAAGTGTTCCGTGACGGTG